GAACGCCAATCATTCTCATGTATTTTGGTCCTGCCCAAAGTTGGCAGCTTACTGGGATGGAATCTGTCAGACTACTGGGATAATTTTGGGGTACGTCATCCCCAAAGATCCTAGAATGTTTCTGCTGATATCTGGAGAATTGTTTCACAAAGAGGATGAGTACCTTTTTAAAGTTCTATCAATTGCAAGCAAAAAAGCAATTACACGATCTTGGCTAAAGAAACTCCCCCCCCAGCTGGACCACTGGAGGGACGTCGTGGAGGAGATTCACTCTATGGAAAAACTGACATATCTTTTACGTATGAAAGGACATTCTTACAACAAACGTTGGTCTAAATGGCTGACATACAAGAGCAAGGAAGCATAACTAGGTGTAATATCTTGTTTTATATATATATATTATTTTTTTTCTCTTTTTACTTAACTAAGAATCAGTTCCCCAAGTTCAGTGTGTTGTATGTTTTATTGTAATGAAAACTGTTAGAGTATTAAAAAAAATCAGCAGCTCTCATGTCTGAAAAAGTCAGCTTTATTTCTATGAAAGAATAAACAAAGTGAACATATATTTTTGTTGCAGTTTTTCATTTTTTGTATAAAATTCACAGTTTAAGTGATAGAAGAAAATACACCATAAATAGTTGGATTATAAAACAATATAATGGGACGTTTCCACAGATGGTTCTTCAGACTCGGCACACACACACCGTCTCTCTCACACAGATGTGTCCTCCAGTACACGGTACCAGACTGGCTCTGTAAATCTGCTACAAACTGGGACGGATTAAAACATTTCTGGTCCAGAGCCGGGATGTTTTAGGACATTCTCGATCTGGTGATCTGATTGTTACATTCAGGCATAAAGTCTGGAGCATGTGTCTGATTAAGTAGATATTTTTCATTAAATATGTGCCTTAGGCTGTTGCAATGTGCTACAGGTACAGCAGCTTTAACGCAGAAGGACTGAGGCTTGGTATCACCAATGTCTTCCATCGTATGGGGACTTTTATTTTGAAGTGATTGGCCACATCCTTTCAGAGGAGTGTGCTGAGGTGAAACGGAGAGGCTGATGGTCGGGCAGTAGCTTGTTTGACTGAGAGCGCTCACTTTCGGAGTTCAGACATGCCAACCGGGTGGAGTCGAAGGAGCCGGTGACAGAATGATTGACTTGAGCGCCCCCTTTGGTCCATGTGTGGCATGAGGCTTCTGAAGGCACTCAGAGCACACCTGATGCTGTTCTCTGATCAACTCATGCTGCTACATCTAACAGGCTCCGCACTTACTTCCAGGTGAGTAGTCTCCTAGGTGGGCGGAGTCAAACAGTTACAGAACAAACAGGAGGGGTCTGGCTCTATGAGTGTTACTGGAGTGGTACTCTACTCTTTAAAGCGGCTGCAATTTCTCCTCGTTGTTGTTGTTGAGGCTGAGGTTCGCCTCCAGACCCGACTGCTTCCTCAGCGCGCGCGGCATCAGCGTCTTCTTCACAAAGAGTTTCTGCAGGAAGCGGTTGCTGATGCTGAGTGGGCAGTAGCTGTGAATGAAGTACATGAGGCCGATGCCAGGCCCGGCGTAGTAGCGCGCCTGCGGCTGAGGCGACAGCAGCGCATGGACGATGGCGTCCACCACGGGGCTGAGGTCTGGGTTGGCGTGCTCGGCGAAGCTCTGGAACAGGTCCTTGGTCTCGGTGATGTAGTCCTCGCCGTATTCCTCCATCAGCGCCGGAGGCAGACTCTGGAGGAGCTGCTGGTGTTGCTGCTCCCAGTAGGCGTTGTTGCTGGAGGGAGCTGGGAAGAGAAGATAGTGTTACCTTGGCAACCGACATAGTCACAGCATCATCTGTCTAGACAAATTTTACTACAACGACTAGTAATGCTGCCAAACTCGTCTGATGTGATGCATTAAAGGGCCAGTGTGGTCAGAAAGACGGCACGGCGTTCGGTCGCGGGTCACGGCGTTCGGTCGCGGGTCACGGCGTTCGGTCGCGGGTCACGGCGTTCGGTCACGGGTCACGGCGTTCGGTCGCGACTCAGGGCGTTCGGTCG